GAAGAGACGAGGCAGAGAAATGAAGAGAGAGTGGAATTAAGAGAGAGGGAGACAGAGCAGCAGTGTAAGATAGCAGCTACGCGTAGTATGACGTATATGCCGGTGTGTGATACATGTAAGTATGAACGCGGTACTGCCTGCGCATCCCAACCACGACTGCATATATAAAATGTAATGTAACACGTCGTTGTCTTTGTCTGAATGCGCGCATGACTTCTAGACGCGCTAACCCACTAACGTAGCCAGATTATGTACTGGCTTGGATATGCAGCGGGGACCTTGCATGAAGGATCATCGTCCTATTTCTTAAGTGAGATCTACCGATAGCATTTTATCATAGAAATCTATGCTAGAATACATCCTCTCTATTTTTAATGCATAATTTTCTCAAAATATTAATAATCTCGAGAGATATTGTACATGCACGAGCACCGTTTCAGGCGTGCAATACGGACTGAAAACAACTGCATAATATAGTTCGCTGAGAGAGGGAGTGAGTGTTGGGAGACTGGGGAAAGGCAACAGGAAAGAAAGCTGGGGCGGGAGAAAAATAAGGAGGCTAGGCGAAAGACAATGGAGACAAGGGGATGGGCGGGAGCGGATGAAGTTGGCATTTTGCACCCTACAGGCTAGGGCGCTCTCCTAATTATAAACACAGGTCTACTGATAACAATTAATTACAGAAATCTATGCTGAGATACCCCCTAACCATATTAAATTCATAATCATCACAAAATATAACTCTTCTAGTGATCTATTGCGCATGCGCTAACACACTAACGTAGCCAGATTATGTACTGGCTGAGATATGCAGCGGAGACCTTAAATGAAGGATCATCGTCATTTTTCTTAAGTGAGATCTACCGATAGAATTTTATTATAGAAATCTATACTAGAATACGACCTCTCTATTTTGAATGTATAATTGTCGCAAAATATTAATATTCTCGAGAGATGTTGCGCATGCGCGAGCACCATTTCAGGCGTGCAATACGAACTGAAGACAACTGCATACTATAGCTCGCAGAGAGAGGGAGTGAGTGTTGGGAGACTGGGGAAAGGCAGCAGGAAAGATAGCTGGGGCGGGAGAAAAAGAAGGAAGCTGAGAAAAAGACAATGGAGACAAGGGGATAGACGGGAGCGGATGAAGTTGGCATTTTGCACCCTACAGGCTAGGGCGCTCTTCTAATTATAAACACAGGTCTACTGATAACAATTAATTACAGAAATCTATGCTGAGATACCCCCTAACCATATTAAATTCATAATCATAACAAAATATAACTCTTCTAGTGATATATTGCGCATGCGCTAACACTCTAACGTAGCCAGATTATGTACTGGCTGAGATATGCAGCGGAGAGCTTAAATGAAGGATCATCGTCCTTTTTCTTAAGTGAGATCTACCGATAAAATTTTAATATAGAAATCTATACTAGACTACGTCCTCTCCGTTTTAGATGCATAATTTTCGCAAAATATAAATTTTTTCGAGAAATATTGCGCATGCGCGAGCACCGTTTCAGGCGTGCAATACGGACTGACGACAACTGCATAATATAGCTCTCTGAGAGAAGGACTGAGTGTTGGGAGACTGAGAAAAGGCAACAGGAAAGAAATCTGGGGCAGAAGAAAAAGAAGGAGGCTGAGCGAAAGACAATGGAGGCAAGGGGATGGGCAGGAGCAGATGAAGTAGGATTTTTGCACCCTACAGGCTAAGGCGCTCTCCTAATTATAAACACAGGTCTACTGATAACAATTAATTACAGAAATATATGCTGAGATACCCCATAACCATATTAAATTCATAATCATCACAAAATAAAACTCTTCTAGTGAGATATTGCGAATGCGCTAACACACTAACGTAGCCAGATTATGTACTGGCTTGGATATGCAGCAGTGACCATACAGGAAGGATCATCGTCCTGTTTTTCAAGTGAGATCAACCGATGTAATTTTATCATAGAAATCTATGCTAGAATGCCTCCTCTCTATTTTGAATGCATAATTCTCGCAAAATATTAATATTCTCGAGAGATATTGCGCATGCGCGAGCACCATTTCAGGCGTGCAATACGGACTGAAGACAACTGCATAATATAGCTCGCGGAGAGAGGGAGTGAGTGCTGGGAGACTGGGGAAAAGCAGCAGGGAAGATAGCTGGGGTGGGAGAAAAAGAAGGAGGCTGAGCGAAATACAATGGAGGCAAAGGGATGGGCGGGAGCGGATGAAGTTGGCATTTTGCACCCTACAGGCTAGGGCACTCTCCTAATTATTAACACAGGTCTACTGATAACAATTCATTACAGAGGTCTATGCTGAGATACCCTCTTACCATATTAAATTCATGATCATCACAAAATATAACTCTTCTAGTGAGATATTGCACATGCGCTAACACACGAACGTAGCCAGATTATGTACTGGCTGGGATATGCAGCGGGGAGCTTACATGAAGGAGCATCGTCCTGTTTCTTAATTGAGATCTACCGATGGAATTTTATCACATAGGTCTATGCTAGAGTACCTCCTCTCTATTTTGAATGCATAATTTTCGCAAAATATTGATATTCTCGAGAGATATTGCGCATGCGCGAGCACTGTTTTAGGTGTGCAATACGGACTGAAGAAAACTGCATACTATAGCTCGCGGAGAAAGGGAGTGAGTGTTGGGAGACTGGGAAAAGGCAACAGGAAAGAATGCTGGGGCGGGCGAAAAAGAAGGAGGCTGAGCGAAAGACAATGGAGACAAGGAAATGGGCAGGAGCGGATGAAGTTGGCATTTTGCACCCTACAGGCTAGGGCGCTCTCCTAATTATAAACACAGGTCTACTGATAACAATTCATTACAGAAATCTATGCTGAGATACCCTCTATCCATATTAAATTCATAATCATCACAAAATATAACTCTTCTAGTGAGATATTGTGCAGGCGCTAACACACTAACGTAGCCAGATTATGTACTGGCTGGGATATGCAGCAGGGACCATACATAAAGGATCATCGTCCTGTTTCTCAAGTGAAATCAACCGATGTAATTTTATTATAGAAATCTATGCTAGAATGCCTCCTCTCTATTTTGAATGTATAATTGTCGCGAAATATTAATATTCTCGAGAGATATTGCGCATGCGCGAGCACCATTTCAGGCGTGCAATACGGACTGAAGACAACTGCATAATATAGTTCGCTGAAAGAGGAAGTGAGTGTTGGGAGACTGGGGAAAGGCAACAGGGAAGATAGCTGGGGCGGGAGAAAAAGAAGGAGGCTGAGCGATATACAATGGAGGCAAGGGGATGGGTGGGAAGGGATGAAGTAGGCATTTTTCACCATACAGGCTAGGGCGCTCTCCTAATTATAAACACAGGTCTACTGATAACAATTAATTACAGAAATCTATGCTGAGATACCCCCTAACCATATTAAATTCATAATCATCACAAAATATAACTCTTCTAGTGAGATATTGCGCATGCGCTAACACACTAATGTTGCCAGATTATGTACTGGCTGGGATATGCACCGGGGACCTTCCATGAAGGACCATCGTTCTGTTTCTGAAGTGAGATCTACCGATAGAATTTGATCATAGAAATCTATGCTAGAATACCTCCTCTCTATTTTGAATGCATAATTCTCGCAAAATATTAATATTCTCGAGAGATATTGCGCATGCGCGAGCACCGTTTCAGGCGTGTAATACGGACTGAAGACAACTGCATAATATAGCTCGCTGAGAAAGGGAGTGAGTGTTGGGAGACTGGGGAAAGGCAGCAGGGAAGATAGCTGGGGCGGGAGAAAAAGAAGGAGCCTGAGCGAAAGACAATGGAGGCAAGGGAATGGGCGGGAGCGGATGAAGTAGGCATTTTGCACCCTACAGGCTAGGGCGCTCTCCTAATTATAAACACAGGTCTACTGATAACAATTAATTACAGAAATCTACGCTGAGATACCCCATAACCATATTAAATGTATAATCATCACAAAATAAAACTCTTCTAGTGAGATATTGCGCATGCGCTAGCACACTAACGTAGCCAGATTATGTACTAGCTTGGATATGCAGCGGAGACATCATTGTCTTGTTTTTTAAGTGAGATCTACCGATGGAATTTTATCATAAAAATCTATGCTAGAATACATCCTCTCTATTTGAAATGCATAATTTTCGCAAAATGTGAATATTCTCGTCAGATATTGCAGGATGGACACAACACAAAGAAAATCTAAATCAGCCAAAAGATGGCGATACGTGTCTAATATGATACAAGCAGCTGTATATCCAGCCTTTATCGATTCAATTGAAATATTAGTTTTTTACGTCATGCTTACAATCTTATTGGCACCAAAAGATTTATAAAAGATCTCTATTCCAATTCGGGGACTTTAATAATAATATTTGTATATTTTAATTGAGTAATTCAAGGATTTTAATACATGTTTAAATGGATAAACCTACAGAGAAGAAGTTACCGCACGTAAATTAACTGTTATGGCAAATGTTAGAAGAATAAAAGTTCAAAGGTCAACGACGAGCAAAGTTCTCACCAGAAGACACCATTATGCTCAAAAAATATTGAATATGTTTATTTACGGCTCGTGTAACATTGCAACATTAACAACAACAAGCATTAAGACTGCATTAACATTGTGTAGTTATTCTTTATCACACCGCAAACTATTGCCATGATTGTCAAAATACAATAGAAATATTTTGTATTTCATAACATTTCTCCGTAGTTTAATCATCCTCTACTGCATATATATATATATATATATATATATATCATATACATATAATTATACGTATACAT